AAACGGCTTTAAAAGCCCCAAAAAACAGCTTTAAAACCCCCCAAAAATGGCTTTAAAAGCCCCCCAAAACAGCTTTAAAAGCCCCAAAAAACTGCTTTAAAAGACCCCAAAATAGCTTTAAAAGCCCCAAAAAATAGTTTTAAAAGCCCCAAAAATCAGTTTTAAAAGCACAAAAAACAGCTTTAAAAGCCCCAAAAATCAGTTTTAAAAGACCCCCAAAACGGCTTTAAAAGCCCCAACAAACCGCTTTAAGCCTCCCAAAAAAACAGCTTTAAAATCACAAAAAACAGCTTTAAAAGCACAAAAAACTGTTTTAAAAGCCCCCCCAAAAACAGTTTTAAAAGCACAAAAAACAGCTTTAAGCCTCCCCGAAAAACAGCTTTAAAAGCCCCAAAAAACTGCTTTGAAAGCACAAAAAACAGCTTTAAAAGCACAAAAAACAGCTTTAGAAGCCCTAAAAAACAGCTTTAAAAGCCCTAAAAAACAGCTTTAAAAGCCCTAAAAAACAGCTTTTAACCCCCCCAAAAAACAGCTTTAAAAGCCCCCAAAACAGCTTGAACCCTTTAAAGCCTGATCCAGGAAAAATAGGAAGAATATTGGATGTTTTTTGTCAGAAGTCTTTCTTTGGCCCCTCAACAACATATGAAGAAAAAAAACACAGAAATTATTTTGATCAAATTAGCGTGCAATAAGTCAAAAATCTATGTTGGTGTAGTCTTCTACTGGCTGTTATCAGGTATATCTGAATGTGTACAACAGGGGTTTGAGCAAAGCTTTTACCACTGAATGATGCAGAAAGTCTCACATCCAAAAGAAACCGGATCAGATATGGTACATTTGGCTTTATAGGGTTAAATGTGTTCATCCACAGCTCCTGAAACACGATCGGACCCCAAAAAACATTCAAATTTGAATTTAAATGGGAATTTTTGGGCTTCTGTAAATAACTCAGAGTTTGGAAAGCTGTGAGATAACTGTTGTAGTGATGTGGTGCTATATAAATAAAATTAAATGTAATTAAATTGAAATATTCCTGGTTTCTGATTGTCATTATTCTGATCGGACCCAGAAAACGTGGATATTAGGCCCAGACTGATTCAGCCTGAGTGGGTAATGATCCCTGGCAGCAGGAGGGAGCTGGAGAGGGTCCGTTTGTGAGTTGAGGCTGTGTGTGTGTGCAGGTTCACGCCTGGCTGCTCATTTAGTGCACACACTGGGCTTCACCTGCTCAAGAGAGCTCCCCTTCTTCGTTTTAGAGTTAAAACTAAACCGGAGGCATCGAGGCTGTAAGACAGGACGAGTGGATTTATGTTCCCAACGATGTTAACGATGTCCAGAGCTAAGTTAGTCATGTTTATCCCTCTGAATACCTATTTTATACCCTCAGTTTTCGTCTATCCAGTCAGTGGTTTTCTCTGGTTTCTCTCTCTCAGTGTTTTCTTTCTCTAATCAGTTTGTTTTGGGGGTAAATGAGAGAGTCAGGAGAATTTAAACTACAAAAAAACAGAAAATGAACCAAACCAAAATGGAAACTAACAAGTAACCTGAGTGTTATTATACAGAAATAAGGAAAAATATTCAAGGCAAATGAACTCATCTAATAGCTAAGTGAGAAAGAATTTAAAAAAAAACAGAGTAGAATGTAGAAATATAATCCGTTTTTTGTCTTTTTTATTTACTGGTTGGATTTATTTCTGTGTTTTTTTTATATTTCTTTTTATTGCCTTCTCAAATATCAGATTCACAGACAGCAAAGAAAAGTATAAAGCCAGTTTTTTTTAAAAGGGGGAGGACAGTATCCAGTTTTGGTTCCCAAGTCCATCATGACTGGTATCTGGGTCATCTTAAAGGTCAACAAGCATCAAATGCTGATTTTGGAGGGACCTCCAGTTTCCTCTGCTGGAGAGTTTATTAATAACCAGCTACATGGATAATATTATTTATTATAAGGACTGAAAGGCACAAAGAAAAGCTTCATAAGGTCCTCATGAAGTGGGTTCAAACTGTTTTTATAGTCAGAAAATCCATGAAAAATCTTTGGTTGTGAGTCAAGTACAGCCTAATTGTAAAAAACCAGGTGTGTTACATCAGGGTTTAATGACCAAAAGTTAGTTTTCTACTTCTGAATTTGCTAACAAAGAAGGACAGACATATCCACACACGACTTGTCTGATATATCTTAATTGGATCTCTAGTCACAAAGACATCTGCTGGAGAAAAAAGGCCAAAGAAAACCCAGTCTAACAGAAAAAAACAGGATTTCTGAGGATTCCCAAAGAGCTACTAGCTGGAAACTGGTCAGATCTCAGCTGGTGAGCAGAGTCCTGAAAACATCTGAGGAAACTGGACCAGAGGAGAACAGAAGAAGAAGAAGAGCTGGGCCTGAAAAACTCTGTAATCCAGCAGATGAAGAGGATCTGAAAGTGAGGTGGCTGAATCAGAAATGCTCTCATGAAGGGGGCTGTAAGAAGCCATAAAAGAAGGAGACAGGAGGAAAGCTGAGCTCTGCCAGAGGAACCAGAAATGGACTGAACCCCAGCTCTGATGGAGGGATGGACCCTCACTCTGAGTTTTACACGAATAATGCAAAAACAAGGCTTAAAATGACCAAAAATACAACAGAAAAGCTAAAATACAACTAAAAAGACCAGAACAAAGCCCCCAAAAAAGCTAAAACTGACCACAAAATAAAGCCCAAAAAGCAAAACCAACACTAAAGATGACCAAAAATACAATAAAAAAGCTAAAACAAAGCTAGAAATGACCAAAAATACAACAAAAAAGATCAAAATAGAGCTAAAATGACCAGAGCAAAGCCAAACAAAGCAAAGAAAAAGCTAAAACTGACCAAAAAATAAAGCCAAAAAAGCAAAAAACACTAAAGATGGACAAAATACAAAAAAAAAGCAAAAACAGAGCTAAAAGTGACCAAAAATTCAACAAAAAAGATACAAATAAAGCTAAAATGACCAAA